ATTTCTGAAAAACAATACTAATTAGTAATTTTGTTTTAATATATATATATATATATATATATATATATATATATATATATATATATATATATATATATATATATATATATATAATTTCAATATCTTTTCTTATAGAAACCCAATTTTTTTGTAATGATTTGTATTCAATAGATAGATGGTAGTTTTATGTAAAATCACCTACATAGATACCATCGTCTTATCATTGTCCACGATGTATACGTGAGATATTTAGTATGCGAGTTATCTTTAAAAATTTAAGGGTTAGAAAGTTGATGCGTGAAATGTCACTATATAAGCAGTATATACTCATGTTTAAAGATAAGATAATAATGTATAACTAAATATATAAATAATAGTGCGTATATATAAATGAAATGAAATTTATTTGCTAGAAACATGGTAGAAAAGGTGTTGCATTTGTGAAGTTTATAAGATGTCCATTATGTTTCGCCACATCAAATGGCATGCAAATATTAATTATTGAATTTATCCATTGGCTATTTTATACAGGTACATCATATATTTAATTTTCAATTACATATACAATAAATCACTATTAGTACCAAGTGCCACTTTGGTCATGCATTACATAAATAATAATAATAATTATATATATATATATATATATATATAATATAAATAATGCGTATATATAAATAATATTGGCCATGTGGTCCCAGCATAGAATGGGCCAACCCTTCCTTTTAATGTACTCTATTAGGTCGACCTCCACACGGTTCCCCCTGGAAACTATCGTGGTTAATTCTCGTGGAATTGATCTCTCTCTCTCTCACTGTCGCCCTGTGAGCATATACCGATAACTCAGGCGGGGTTACCATTCCATTTTCACCCATTAAAAAAACTCTTCCTTTTCCGTAGTATCGTAGGAGGCGACTAAGGAAACTTAATGGTCTTAAAACATCATTAAAGCTGCCAACCCGCCTGCCAAGTATGGTAACTACTCACAACACCTGTCATATACCCGTCTGCCAAGCGTGGCAACTATTGGCCATACCCCCCAATGGCAAAGACAGTTTACGGCGGAGGCTTATTTATTTTATTAATTAATTTATTTATTTATAAATTATTCACCACACTTACAGAATCCCAAAACGTGTAGTGAGCCATTGATTTATTTTGCAAACTTAAAAATTTTAAACAACGTTTTAAAAATATATTTATTTTGTCATTAAATATGTCAATATCTGGCTGCTGAGCAATCAGAGAATTGAGCAGAGAAATAGCCTGATAAGTGGGAGCAAACTGAGCAGTACAGGTACGAACCGGCGGTGCCGATAGTAATCGACAAGCACCCAATCGCATGCAGCGTTGGGGTGCGTACAAAGAACAACGGCTGAGAGTTGCAGGAATGTCTATTCCACCGTTGAGCAACCGATAATAGTTATGTTCAGCAGTGGATAGTTATTGCCAGATATGATGATGATGATGATAAATGATACTCTAAGATCTGAACAGTAATTCTTAGATATTATCCAATTGTGACTTTGAAATTTTTATTTAGATTTATTACATACATACATATCTGTCACGCCTGTCTCCCATTAAGGTAGGCAGAAACAATGGAACGCCAAATGCTTCGATTCAAACAAACCTCTTTCGCTTCTTCCACATTCATCAATCTTTTCATACACGCTCGCCGGTTACGGGTACTTTTAATTTGGCCCTTCTTCAGCACGTCGCCTATTTGGTCAACATACGTCTGTCTAGGGTGGCGCCTACCGACATTTATTAGATTTATTACTAATGAAAAAAACTACCAAACTTAATCCACGATAATGACAACACATGACGGGTACCATGGTATGACAGTATATACTGTGGTGTCTATGTTATCCATCAGGTGGACTATCAGCTCACTTGTCACTCTGTCTGTCATGTTACATAAAAAAATCCATTAGATAGATAGATAGATAACCTTTATTACCAGTATTAAGAAAAAAAAATTAAAACAATAAAAAAAAACAATTAATGTTGCTGGTAATAGGAGCCGCCTCAGCTGTTGCTATATATGTACAAGTCCAGCTAGAAGTACCTATATAGCGCTGATTTTCAGGCGGCCCCCTATTAGAGCTGTAATATGTATACAAAATAGACCCTCATGGATAAATAGATAGACAGATACTTTATTTGAGCCATTTATGACACACGTAAATTAACAAAGAAGTTTATACAATCAAATTAATTACATTTTTTAAATATAAAAGAAAAAAATATGAAAATATGTTTTCGCCGTATGTGTCGCAGTGACCCAAATAGGCTAAAGCTCAGTGATAGTTTTGCTTAAAAAAAGACACAGATTTTTATCTGCAGCCTGAAGTTAGGCTATACGGACGCGTACAACGAACCCAGAGTGTAACCCTGTATGACCAAATTAGCAGACAAAAATAAAATTGTATTATATAGATACCTATATATAAATGATGCTTATATTAGTCCATACATGATATGGTATGTGTAATGACTAAGGATATCTATTGCATCCAGAGGGAGACTTTGTACAAAAGTCGATTGCTTGGGTACCTCTGTTCCACTCGTGTTTCAACCGTAAAGCAGTTGTGTTTAGATGGCTGTGTTTCGGTTTAAAGGGTGGGATATGGCGTGAATTTACTAGGTACAGAGGAATAACACCTGAGTCCTCAGGAATTGAAACGCATGGGGGGTATCATGGGCGAAACAGTATACTCTGTTATGTCTATGGCACTGCTCATGTCTATAGGTGACGGTTACCACTTTCCATCAGGTGAGCTGTCAGCTTGATTGCCATTCTAAGTTGTATAAAAAAAAACCATGCTTGCAGAAAGATTCTATTTATCTTGCAGCTGAAAGACAGAAGGAAACTAATATACAGCAATCGACAATAACATTTAATCAGTATTTAATATTTTACATTAGGTAGGATTCGTAAAGACAGAAAGAGAGATGTAAGATAAACTAAAACTCGAAAGTCACAAAGTTTCTAAATTATGCAAACGAAAAAGAGTCTTAATATTATATTGACGTAAAAATTGTTGGTGCGGTTAAAAGAAGGTAGCGGAATGAATCGCTACAGTATGTACTCTGTAAAAATAGGTAATGATTCCGTAATATACGAGTATTGCCGGTTTTAACTGATTAATTAACTAATTCCAAACTCTTAGATTTAGAATAATAAGTTTTTTTTTTTTTGTGAATTAACACGCACTATGTTTTTGTAGATAACGATAATGTTTTTGAAGATTATGTTCCATAAAAATATCGACTCCGATCGTGGCCAAAACAAGTTATTTTGATTTAAAAACTTTTTTTTATACAACTTAGAATGGCAAACAAGCTGACGGCCCACCTGATGGAAAGTGGTAACCGTCGCCTATAGACATGAGCAGTACCATGGACATAACAGAGTATACTGTTTCGCCCATGATACTCCCCATGCGTTGCCATTCCTGAGGACTTAGGTGTTATTCCTCTGTACCTCTGTAAATTCACGCTATATCCCACCCTTCAAACCGAAACACAGCCATGCAAACACAACCACTTCACGGTAGAAACACGAATGAGACAGAGGTACCTAAGCAATCGAATTTTGTACAAAGTCTCCCTCTAAAAACTAAATTGACTTTGATAAAATTTCTATGGAACTAATCTGTAATCCTTTCAAACAAAAAAAAGAATAACCCGAATCGGTTTTACAACTGACGGAATTATAAGGTAACAAACGTAAAAACAAACCGAATTCAGAACCTTTTTCTTTTCGAGATACATTGAAAATTACCTTTAACAAAATGAAGCCTAATTCGTAAAACGAAAATTATTGGCTACCTGTAAAAATTAACTACATTTATTTAAATAAATTGCTCCCTCTCTCTCTATAAATGACGGTAAGCCATATTTCATGTCATAAGTGCTTTTGGGCAATACAATAAATACGTCTTAATAACACTTTTGGTATACAATAGTTCCTTTCCCGTAAGTGTTGCAAGAGACAACTAAGGGTACTTAATAACCAAGGGATGGGCAGCAGCGTCCCTCTTAATACATCGCCAAACCCTAACTGCGGTTACCAACATGCCTGCTAAGCATGGCAACTATTGGCAACCCCCCCCCCCCTCTTATAGGGGAAGTCTATGTTCAGCAGTGGACAGTTAACGGCTGATATGATGATGATGAAAAAGATGAAGCAAATAAATAAATATGCAATTTTGATAATTGTAATATTGTAGGCGCTCTGCAAAACGTTTATTATAGTTATATAAAATGTTCAGTGATTATTCTCTAAATTTTTTTCTATGTATATAGTAAATTTATATGACAGATCACAAATCCGTTAGTAAGTGCTAAAATACCATATATATATATATATATATATATATATATATATATATATATATATATATATATATATATATATATATATAAATATTATAATTATTACATGCAATACGAAAATAGCGCGCCGTGTATGATTACAAAAATAATCATTTTAAAACCTTTATTTTTTAACTTCACACGATCTAGAAATATTTAGGGTGGGATATAACAGTGAATTTACAGGGTACAGAGGAATAACACCTGAGTCCTCAGGAATGGCAATGCATGGGGGGTATCATGGGCGAAACAGTATACTCTGTTATGTCCATGGTACTGCTCATATCTGTAGGCGACGGTTACCACTTTCCATCAGGTCGACCGTCAGCTTGTTTGCCATTCTAAGTTATATAAAAAAATCAACATGTCGACTTAGGTACAGTGGATAAAATGTTTTATATTTTTACGAATGTAATGCATCAACGTACGTTGCTAATAGTCTAATATAATTTAAATTTATACATATAATTAAAAAAGGCAAACAAAACATCATTGCAAAATTACCTTGTGATGATAAAATAATGATGGTTTAACCTCGCTGAAGGTCAACCTGCACCGTACATATAAGGGCCCAACTGAGGGCACCTATTAAAATATCAGATACGTCCTTAGAATCAACAATATTATCCTCAAACATATATAGGTAATTTATACAAAAATATAATTGAAAAGGAGTCATCTTTATTGATTTGAACTAAAGGAAAACACAAAATTATTTCTCAATAAATAAATAATATTCTATAAAAAAAATATAAACTGTATTAAAAAATCTTTTAAATTAATCGCTTCTTTTTCTAATATTATTTTACCTTCTCAAGTAAGTGCGTATTAAATGCACACCAATGCTAATCGCAGCTGTGTATACAACGAAGCGTATACCAGACTTGCAGTTCAGTTCAGCTAACCACCTTTCGAAAGGACTGTGCCTCAGTAACGTAGGCCACTCCGCAGTGCTGATATCTTCGTACGTTTGAGCTTGTGGTCGCAATATACTTAACAAATGTAAATACGCAGCGTGACCTGCTTCCAACGCAGCGGCCACATCACCATCTGCAAAAATATCTAAAGCACCCCATTCTAGAAACCCATTGCATGTTCCTCCAGTAAATTTCCTCAGCGCAATATAATCGCCACAACGTGGAATGAACACGTCGGCTATATTCGTCTCTTTGTAGCTCACAGGATTTGCTGCTTTCTCGCCAAATAGCTTGACCAGTTGAGCAATCACGGCATCTTTGGAATTATCGTCACTATCTCTTATCATCAAATAACCAACAATAGCCGCATATTTCTCAGTACTTCCAGTTGTAGACATTTTTGGCTTTTCCATAGCCCATATTATGGGACCTTGTATGCTTAGAATATCGCCACTATAACCTTGGTCATTCCAAATATTTTCCTCGTATTGAATCAAAAACTTTTTTGCCCGACCAGCACTCATTCTGCTAGTTATAGAAGCTTGTTCTTTCGACATTAACTGGTCGTCAAATCTAATTTTAAGAAGCTGGTCAGGTCTCAAAGCCATCGCTAATAAATTGCATACGTAATTCGTTTCACCTTTTATCGTTTCCAAAATAACCTGTTCATTGGAGTAGGTGCGAATTTCTTTAATACTTTTAGTAGCCATTGTAATATCAGCTATACTTTTCTGTAGTTTGCTAGCTAATCGGTGTCTACAATACCCCAATAGTTTCTCACGGAACCTTGTATTGTCTCCGTCTAAATGATTTCTTGCGCTGCTAGTCCTGTAACACTGATGTAGGTAAAAAAGAACAGATATTGTATTTGCTGGTGCTCCACAAACTAGTCCAACAACAGTTCGCATAATTTCTCTTGAAGTAGAAAATAATAAGACATCACAAATGTGCTGTTCCATGGTAGTCTTGTCATAGTACATTAACATTTTCCTGTCAACTTCACTGTCTAATTTATCTTTATGAAAGACATCGATTACGGTCTGATCAAGAAGTGCTTGATACTGATTAAGTTCAAACCTCTCCATGATGCTCAGATAATTGAAATCATGATAATCACTTAAACATTCCACAATATTTCCATTTAGGTGCTGAAATAGTTTGCTCAGGTTGGTTTTAGTATTCTCTGGCATTATTATAGCATTTGGCAACGGTATATTGAACTCTTTTGAATACATACTAATATAATGCCTAGCAACATTATCTACTACTTGTTTGACTGTGGTTTCCTCTCCATCTACTTCCGTTGTATCATCATCGACTTCTTCTAAAAAAGCGACATTACATTTAGACGGTGTCCTCGTAGGGCCGACTAGGTCTAGAACAACGATCACCATCGTGTCACCGAATTTTCTCTTGAGTTTGTGAGCTGTAACAATCCCCGGGAGGCTACATCCCAGTATAATAACATCTGCTTTTACACTATTTTTATGACTCTTACTAAATCTATGTGTGCCGTCGTATTTTTTCGCCATGGGGATTATCAAATTTATTTCAATAATATTAAAAAAGACATTAGTTTGTACTGACACTGACCACTGGCAAATGTCATTTGTGTCAAAATTTATGTCAAATTCCATGTGCACTGTAAAATAGTTTTTACCTAAATTTATAATATTACTAGCTTACCCCGCGAACTTCGTACCACCTGACAGTCGGGTCTTTAATTTTTTAGTTTTTTTTTTACTTATTCTGCTACTCGGAACGCCGGGTCAGCTAGATTTACCATATACGATAATAACGTCACTCAATTGTTTTGCCTTCTCGGAACCTCTCCGCTAACACTTGAACTTTATTTAAATACCATACGTATTAAAGTTAAAATAGATTTTTAAATATTATTACGAATCCTTTGTACAGAAAAATGTTGTTATTAGACTTTTTCAGGTAATTTTTTAAATTTTTCACTCCGTAAGAACTATCCTCGTACTTCAAGAAATATTCTAAAAAAAGAATTAGCGATATCGGTTCAGCTGTTCTCGAGATTTGCGCTTAGCAACACATTTAGCGATTCATTTAGCAAATACTAATTGTTATAGATTTTGAATATATACATATGAAGTAACTTTACCACTGTTTCCACAGATTAAGGACCTATTGTTACCTTGGTTAAACCCTTAGGTTTGACCTTAATAAGGCCTACACTTTAATTTATATCTTATTTAGATAGAATACAATGAATTCAAGATGTATAAATTTTAATTAAAATTATTCCGATACATTATCTTTTTTTATATAATATTTTGTTAACGGACAAATATTTTCTTTTTTTTTTGTAAGCAAACTTAAAGTGTTAAACAAACTCACCAATTAGGTGGACTATCATTTTGTTAGTACCACCTTCCACTAGGAAACTGGTCGTAACAAAGTATACTGTGTCGCCCATAAGTATAAGTATAACAAAAGTATATGTAAGTTTAAGTAAATATTAATAAGTATTTGCTTAATTAAAACTTACTGATCAGGCATACTGTTGCATCACAGACAAATTGCATCAGAAATAAATGAGTTATAATTAGATTGTGTTTAGTTAATATCTGTGCATCTTTTTTTTAGTTAAAATTAACCGTACATATACTGACTGCAAGTTAGCGTAGTTATTTTTAAATACGATGATCCGGTCTGCAATTTTAATATAGTCTTATAAAAATCCGACATACTCAATTTACTATTGATAAGAACTAATTCGCTACTTTTAAGTGTGACCGGGATATATTGATTTGCCGGGGTGAAATATGACCTATGTTGTATATTTTTAAAAGGCCGGCAGCACACCTGCAATGCCGCTGGTGTTGTGGGTGATCATGGGCGGCAGTAGTCACTTACCATCAGGTGAGCCGTATGCTCGTTTGCCCCCTGTGTTTTTTTTCTTTTTTTTTTATACGACTTAGAATGGCAAATAAGCTGACAGCCCACTCGATGGAAAGTGGTAACCGTCGCCTATAGACATGAGCAGTAGCATGGACATAACACTACACACACATACTGTTTCGCCTATGATACCCCTCATGCGTTGCCATTCCTGAGGATTCAGATGTTATTCCTCTGTACCCTGTAAATTCACGCCACATCCGACCCTTCAAACTGAAACACAACTGCTTCACGGTATAAACACGAATGGGACAGCGGTACCCAAGCAATCGACTTTTGTACAAAGTCTCCCACTGGTGTTGTAAAAAAAATTATCCCGGATACCATATTTCGTGACGACTGGTTAAGCCGTTAAAGCACCGATAAACAAACAAACCCACATCTATATAAATAGAAATCAGTTGTCGAATGTATTTTTTTAATGGATGGTGACGGACTGGTAACCCTGCCTACGTTATCGGTATATACTGGCGGAGCATCAGTGAGGGATGATAGGTGAGGATGAAGCAAGTAAGGTGTGATGAATTGAACAATAAATCAATCATGATAGTTTTAGGGGAAAATGAATGGAGGTGGATCTCATATATACCCATATTGCTGACAATCACATCAGCCGTTAACTGTCCACTGCTGAACATAAGCCTCCCCCTTAGGGGGTTTTGCCAGTAGTCGCCACGTTAGGCAAGCGGGTCGGCAACAGCAGTTAGGCTTTAGAGATGTATTAAGAGAGACGCTGCTGCCATCCCTCGACCTCCCTTGGTCGATTCTTACGACACCCACGGGAAAGGAAGAGATGGCCTATTTTCTAGGTCGGGACCACACGGCAAATTGCTAGCAATGGGTTTCGCCATTACTAACAATCCCTTCTACCCCTGCTGAATGTATTGAAGCTTATCATATATATGAATGTAATTTGTAAATTGTAAAATGATTGTAATTTGTAATCTGTATAATTTATTATTAATACGTAAATATATTGACATTTATATAATATGACGATTTAAGTAAAATAGTATTAGCATAGCATAGTGGCACAATTAAATAAATTTTGTACGCCAGATTCTGGTGACAAATGTGAACAATATTTAAGTATTATATAACATCTTTTATACCATTTTTCAAACAAAATAAAACTATTTGTATTTATATTTATATTTATCATTTCGGAACTGCACCTATTCGGCTAATTTTCATAATAATAAAACAATTGAACAAATTAATATTTCAAGGCAATGTTTGTATGAAAAATATTTCAAATTAAATATGAATTTATTTACATTAAACAGTCTTAAAATTATAAACAAAATCCGCGTAGTATTAAGTTAGACACCTGTTTAATTACCTCAAGCGATGTAAGCACGCATGTTTATATAACATTTTATAAAAATCGTACGGAAGAAGAAAACGTGCGCGAAGTCGGGGCGAGCGGCTTGTTCATAATATTAATAATAATTTTATACCTATATTAATATTGATAAAAAATCCCATGTCACGATGTTTGTGTACGCTATTCTCCGTAACAACTCAACCGATTATGATGAAATTTTGCGAATACGTATTATTTCCTGCATTTTGAGAGATAAGATTGTTGTTATTTTTAAAACTTATATTCATTTTTTTTAATTATGTCTATATAGGTATGTACAACGGGAATTTTATGGACTTACCATGTTTATCATTTCTGACAATTGTTTTGATTTTTCCAGAAGTTTTTTACTGATTTTAATTTATTTACAATGTCAGCAACTTCTTATAAAAAAAAAAGCAATGGAACTAAACTAACTAAAGTACGAGCAGAATACTTATGATACTACCATATTTATTCTTTGGAATCAACTTCCAGCAGCAGTATTTCCGAACCGATACAACAATATAACCTTCAAGAAAAGAGTATATTCCTTTTTAAAAGGCCGGCAGCACACCTGCAATGCCGCTGGTGTTGTGGGTGACCATGGGCGGCGGTAGTCACTTACCACCAGGTGAGCCGCATGCTCGTTTGCCCCCTGTGTTGTAAAAAAAAAACATATCTATATACATCCATATTTTTATTATTAGTAATTAAAGGATAATGGTATTTATTGTACAAATATTCATATGTTTAAGTAAATTTTTAAGTAACATACTGTACAATTGTTTATTATTCCGAATAAAGTGAAAAAAAATATATATGTGATTTGAATATAATTGTTAAAATTTATTGGAACACACTATGATTAATTTCCGCCATTACACGAGTAGCCAGCGACATCTGTATTATTAGAAGTGTGACGTAGCGTCGCGTAGCAACCGCGCCCCTGAGAACACACGAAGGTCAGTTCGGTTACGTCAGAAAAACGTGCATTCTATAAATATTATTATGTAAACCGCAAGTTTATATTTAAGTAAAATGAACTGCGATCACGAGATTTTTTATACACCTTAGAATGGCAAACAAGCTGACGGCCCACCTGATGGAAAGTGGTAACCGTCGCCCATAGACATGAGCAGTACCATGGACATAACAGTACACACACATACTGTTTCGCCTACAATACCCCCCATACGTTGCCATTCCTGAGGACTCAGATGTTATTCCTCTGTACCCTGTAAATTCACGCCATATCCCACCCTTCAAACCGAAACACAGCTATGCAAACACAACTGCTTCACGGTAGAAACACGAATGGGACAGAGGTACTCAAGCATACGACTTTTGTACAAAGTCTCCCACTGGTACATAATTCCAGTACTCAGTGAGAGAGAAAGGATGGCAGAGCCTTAAAAAAGTTCTTTTTTTTTAAATTTCTATAATTGTGGGTATTAAAGAGTGGATCAACATATTTTTTACCAGTTATTACTAATTTACGGATTAAGTATAGATTCTTTGACATAACCTTATCAGATTGGTAGTTCATTAGTACGTTGACATTAAGTACATAGATTAACGTGAAATGGAAACTAGTAAAACAATCCGCTGAATTATCGTTAGCAGCTTATGTTATATTGTCAATTCCGTGTATATAGTGATAAATAGTATTATATTATCTGTAGTTACAGATTAATAATACATTTTTTTTTTATTTCCTTACAACTAACAATTTTTGAGAACCGATTCACTCATTTAAATTTATTAATTTATTCTTTAATGCAAACAAGCAAGCAAACAAGGCAAACAAGCTGACGGCCCACCTGATGGAAAGTGGTAACCGTCGCCTATAGACATGAGCAGTACCATGGACATAACAGAGCAAACCCTGTAAATTCACGTCATATCCCATCCTTCAAACCGAAACACAGCCATGCAAACACAACTGCTTCACGGTAGAAACACGAATGGGACAGAGGCACCCTCTTAGAGGTATCTTCTTTTATTAATTAATTTTCAATTGATCATTCCGTATAATTGAAACTGCTTTAGAGAAATTCCAAGTTAAAAAAAATATATCTACAAAGTAATCAGCTGCATAAATTATTAAATAATATACATATACAATTAATCAAGATACCATAAATAATTGTCAAATAATGTAAACGGATTTCCCATAGATATATACATAATAATCAAGCGTTAATACCAATTGTAAACAAGATTAATTACGTCATTACATGGAAAATAATAGTATTTGCTAATATTTTGATTAAAGTACCCACGCACTGATAAACGAACTACCGGTGAAGAAAGCCCCTTGATTGGTGCACGATCAATAAGAAAGATTAGTATTTATCCGTTTAATTATAAAGTGTATTATTGAAAATCAAACAAAAAATAACAATAATCATGCGCCGACCACACCGTCGACTGATGCAATCTTATCTCTTTCTAGCACGTGGTGTATTGGTGTTGGAATATTGAGAATATTTCGATGATCCAATCTGCGGGTCTACCACGAAATGACATTTCGAATTGTCGGAACTTTCGGAAATTTTCGACTCAATTCGAATTCGGAAATTTCGGACCCAATTTCCTGTTTTTATTTATAACTAAAAAAATTCAGTAAATGAAGCTTAACATTTAGTTCGATATAAATCCTACCGTGAAAGTACAAAGAAACTATATTTTAACATTTTTTTTTTATATTTTTAAGCAGTTTTTTGTTTTTTATACAACTTAGAATGGTTAACAAGCTGACGGCCCACCTGATGGAAAGAGGTAACCGTCGCCTATAGACATGAGCAGTACCGTGGACATAACATAGTGTATTGTTTCGCCCATGTAAATTGTAATATTTAAATTTAAATTGTAACATGTAAATTTAATTTCATTTCATTTATTTATTCAATAACAATCATAGAATTGTGTTTGAAATAAGTTACAATATTTTATAAACTAAAAATTAAAAAAATAAACAATAAGGTCAATTAAAAAATAATAATTAAACTCTTTTTCCGTGCTAAGTCTCTCGTTTAGGCCGTTGTGCGCATGAGTCGTGACTGGTACAGTCAGCCCAGCTTTACCCAGTAGCACAAATACTTCCTGGGATCTTCACAGGTCTCACGCAGCAACCTCACTGTCCCGAGGATTTCTGAATGTTAACGGACCGCACTGTGTGTCGAACCTTAAAAAATTATTGCATTTTATTTATTTTATATATTTACTAGCTAGCGGCCCGTCCCGGCGTCGCACGGGTGGACATTTTTACATTTTAAAAAGTGCCCATTATGGCTGCACACGCGACGTAAGCTTAAAAATTGAATAACTTCTCCCGTTTTCCCAACATTTCCCTTCACTGCTCTGCTCAAGTATACTATAACCTGCCCAGGAGTATGAAGAATAATCGTACCAAGTTTCGTTAAAATCCGTCGAGTAGCTTCTGTTTCTATAACGAACATACTGACAGACAGACAAAAATTTTACTGATTGCATTTTTGGCATCAATATCGATCATTAATCACCCCCTGATAGTTATTTTGGAAATATATTTCATGTACAGAATTGACCTCTCTACAGATTTATTACTCGTATAAGTATAGATTTGTATTATACATACTGATAACACATATAAATTTGACATGTACAAAGACGAGCTTAACACTAAAAGAGTTCCCTTCCAGCAAACCCAAAGTGGAAAGAAGCATGAATATCAGAGGATTTATACTTAATATTTCTAAAAAACAATTAACTAGATAGAAGCAAAGATAGTTTTCAACGAATCGTAAAGATCGCAAACCGATCATAATTAATTGCCCACTTATGAACAATATTTTTTATTTTTATACTACTTACGTTTGAAGGGTGGGATATGGCGTGAATTTACTGGGTACAGAGGAATAACACCTGAGTCCTCAGGAATGGCACCACATGGGGGGTATCGTAGGCGAAACAGTATACTCTGTTATGTCCATAGTACTGCTCATATCTATAGGCGATGGTTACCACTTTCCATCAGGTGGGCCGTCAGCTTGTTTGATATTCAAAGTTGTATAAAAAAAAATACTTTCAGCAATGGGGCCACTATTCCCTATTACTAACAATCCATTCCCGCTATGAAATATAATAATTGTATTGCATCATAGCAAATTTCCGTGTTATTAGATACGTAGACCTAATCTCTAATAACACTATCTGTATATAATACTTGAATGAGACGCTGTCTGCAGGTGCTTTCATAAATTATATTTTTATCACTACATAGATAATAACTGTATTATATGCAATATTTCACTGTCACATTAGGAAAAGTACATGAGTTTTATTTATTAATTTTTCCCCCATCATCATAATCATAAATTATTTATCATATTTGATTATTTACATTCCATTGTTCTTACTAATTTTTTTTAATGGGTGATAATGATGTGGTAACCCCACCCGCGCTAACGGGATACGCTGGCGGAGCACCAGTGAAGGGTGATAGATGAGAATGAAAACAGGCCAGTTAGCCCATCATGATGAATTCATCAGGAAATAACCATGATAGTTTCCAGGGGGAACCGCGATAAGGTCGACCTGGTTGGGTATATTGCTAGCAATGGGATTCTTAGTCTACATTACTAACAATCCCTTTCCCCCCAGTATGGTGATGGTTTACACCAAATTGACCATTCAATAAATACTACTCCTGAACATAAGTCCCTATTGTCACTAACACTGTCACATAATACGAAACGAATCTACCAACAGATATTTCGCTTCTTCCCTTCGCTGCCATGCACACGAGAGAGAACGAGACAACAATATCTAGCGTTTTATTCCTTCATTTCATTAACGACTCGTGTGGGGGGGCCGAGGTGCCTAAATCTTTTCACTTCAGTATCGAGAAAGAGAGAGATCGCCGCACACATAACTACGAAATTTTAAAAAATATAAAATTTTAATTATTATTATAAATATTAAATTCTAAGTATATATTTAGAACTAATTGAACACTGGCTAATTAGGAATAGATAGCACCACTTTAATTCTTCCCAGCTGCAATCGGAGCCGGCGCTATGAGAGACGTGCGCGCCTGCACGTACGCCATCGGGCACGGCGCGTGTCCTTTACCAGACGGTACGACATGATATATTTTTTTAATGGATGATAATGGAATGGTAACCCCACCCGTGCTATCGGTATACACCGGCGGGGCACCAATGAAGGATGATAGGTAAGGATAAAGTAGGTCAATTAGCCCTACGTGACGAATTCAACAAGAACTGTTCACGATTGTTTCCAAGGACAACCACGTGGAGGTCGACCTAATAAGGCATATTGCTAGCAATGGGGCTGTCAAACTCCATTGCTAACAATCTCTTTCTCCCCTCCCCCCCCCCCCCGCAATACGATATTAACAAATTAAAGATTGCTTTTTATATTCTGTTTAGAACGGTATACTAGCTCTTCTAATAGAAAATGATGACTGTCACCTATAGATTTATAAATGTATAAACAGAATAATATTAATTATTTATTAAACTTTAATACACATAGTGTCAATGGAGGACTTAACCCCATATGGTGTTATCCGTCAGACGATCGTAGACAAGAATAACAAAAAATATAATAGACTGCGCAACGGAGTATATATATAAAATTTGTTTTAGTTAAATCTCTTAAATTTTAGCGAATCAGTACAATCTTATGTTCTAAGTTATAATCTAAGTAATAATTCTATATTAAAAAATAATAGAATTTCATCGTGCCTTCAATCGTGTTCAAACTGTTTATAATTCCTCCTCTCCATCCAAAGTTTGCCGGGAAGAGATCGCTTTTAGCGATAAGGTCGCCCATTTTTTTTTTAATAATAATAAAGTTTATTCTCTTTACAATACCAGTTGTACATCTATTATATTCTAATATATTTATTTTTGGAGGTTCCATAAGTTAATGTATTGT